GCCAACAGACAATACAGAATGCTTTAAACAATCTTTAATAAAAATAAAGAATAAAAAGTTTTATAGACATGGAAAAATGTACGTTTCAATCGAAGGAAAAATTACGAAAACCTATGCGAAAACCTAATAGAAGAATAACCTATAGAATATATACACTCACCGGCAAAATTAACGGAACACCTTAAAAATGGGACATGTTAGATGATTCGAATTGCCTAAACCTGTTGTCCGATTTTAGTGATTTTTTTAGTATGTTATAGGTATATTATTTAAGAATATCAATGAAATAATATTGTTGCTAGACAGGTCAACGTCATTTTATACCGGGTGTAACAATCATACTGTGTTTTTTCCTTAAAGTTCGAAACACCCTGTGGAATATTCTAGCATATATAAAATATTGAAATTAAAGCTCAATTATAGTCTCAGGCTTTCTTAACATTTTCTTTTTTGATTCATTTGCTTGTGTTGGATAATAAAAAAGTTAGGTACGTTAACAACTAGCCATGTTTTTCATCAATAAATGCTCATTTTCTTCTTAGTTTCACCAGCATATTTAAAGAAACAACCATAAAATCTGAGTATTTTCTCTCTAGTCTATATACTGTTTAGATAATATCATAATACGAATGTTGGTGAAGTATTTTGAATTTATATTACAATGGTAGTACAATATAAAACCTGTTTAAGAAGAAATAAAATACAAAGATGTCAGACTCAACAAAATACGGATTTTAAATGCATTAACTTTATTGTACAGTTTGAACTTAAATTGTTTTTTATGCATTTTTTTGGCTTTAATAGCGTGTGTTTCCCCTACGAGCCCTTAGAACTGCAGTTATTCGTCTCCTCATACTTCTGATAACGCTATCGATCAGTTGTTGGCCAGCCTCTCGCATTTCTCAATCTTTTGCAATTGTGACTTCTTCTCTGTTTTGAATAGCAGGAACCCGTGCCCTAAGTTTTCTGCCTAGCATGTAGGCACTTGTAATAAGAAATCTCTTACACTTACACTCTTACACTATAAAATAAAATTTTCGCCAATATATGGTGAAAAAGGTACCACATGGTCTTGGAGAATATCTCTGATATACTTATCTGCTGTTAATGCTCCACCATCAATCACCACTAACTCTGTTATTGCTCCCAAACATATACCGCCCCACACCATAATTGAACCTCCACCAAAAGGTACGGTCGTAGTAAAGTTGAAAGGGGCATTTCGTTCTCCTTGGCGTTAATACAATCTTTCTCTACCGTCGATGTAATTTACACAGAAACGGCTCTCGTCCGTAAAGAGAATTTGACTCCAGTGGTTATCATTCCAATTTTGATGTATTCGACCAAATTGTAGTCGTGCTAAACGATGGTGTCTCTGGAGTCTGGGAGCTTTTATTGGCACATATGACTTGAGACCGGCTTCTTTTAGTCTCTTTCTTACTGTGCGCTCAATTAAATACAAGTTTGTACTTGTTATAAACAGACAGAATGACTGTAAAATATAAAACACAATACAAATAAACAAATTAATTTGACATTTTGACATTTAAGACTGTCTTGTGACAAGGAGCTCTCAAAGCTATGTAGATATAGTCTATAAAATACAAATATAAAAAAATATTGCATTAATGACAGGTTCCTTTAAATTTGCTGGTGTGTGCATTAAATTGTTAACTTCTCATAGCCTACTTTAGGCTTGTTTTTAAACTAAGCAGAAAATGAGGATTTATTGATGAAAAACATGGCTAATTGTTAACGTACCTAACTTTTTTATTATCAAACATAAGCAAATGAATCAAAAAAGAAAATGTTACGAAAACCTGAGGCTATAATTAAGTTTTAATTTCAATATTTTATATATGCTAGAATATTCCACAGGATGTTCCGAACTTTAAGGAAAAAACACAGTAGGATTGTTACAGCCGGTATAAAATGACATTGACCTGTCTAGCAACAATATTATTACATCGATATTCTTAAATAATATACCTATAACATACTAAAAATCACTAAAATCGGACAACAGGTTTAGGAAATTCAAGACATCTAATATGTAGCAATTTTAAGGTGTTCCGTTAATTTTGCCGGTGAGTGTATATATATATATATATATATATATATATATATATATATATATATATATATATATATATATTGTCATACATGTTCTTCTCAATCAATCAAGACATCATGGTAAACAAAATTAATGTATTAGATTAAGATAATATTAGATTAACAGAAAGTTTTGCCTGTCAAGAACTAATTTTTGAACACTCGCAGGTAAAATCTTTTTATAAAGAATTAGAAAGCCCATACTCATTACAATCTTTATATTGTTTGCATAAGACCTAGGATTAAGATATTGTAATTAACCTTGTGTTACAGGAATGAATTATGTATTTGTAACCAAAGGAAAAGCCAGTTTTAAAGCAAAAACTTTAGTTTCTCTGGAAACAGTAACGAGGTTTTCTCTTAATGATTGTAAACAAACTAAAGCTTTCTGTATTGGACAGTTTTTTTTAATGGGAAAATTGATAGTCGGTGTATGAGAGAAAGTGGTAGTTATCATTTGATCATCGAAAGGAAAGGTCGCGTCTCGATAGAGGGTATGTTCGTGAGTTTGGATACCGGCATTGTGAAAGAAAGTTAGCAGAATTGTGGAAGGAGATTACAAGTCGATGAAAAGATATCCTTGGATCTAAAGTGGGGAGTTTCTGTTTCTGGGATTAAACAATACAAAAAAAATAGAAGAGGAGTGAATAATAGTCAAATAGAAGTTGAAGATGAGACACAAAGCGATAAAAGACGTTAAATGCTGTTTGGAAAATGTTAAAAAAGAAATGGCAGAAGAGCAGACAGAGATTAAAGAAATTAAAAATCAAGTAAAATAATTCAAAAATAGAAATATACAGAAAAAATGTTTTGCATCGAGAAAAATCCCTGCATAGTTTTATTTATTTTTATCAGATGCAAAGGCAGGGATTTTGTCATACTTTTTCTTCTGACAATAATTATTATTTTGATGTTTGATATATGTCAGAAAGACACTCGTTTCTGTTTATTATAAAATATTATTTATTTATAATAAAATAACTAAATTTTTCTTTTAGTTGTATCTTTGCAACCAGCTGGTTTATACATAGATGTGCATTGTGCATTGCTTTAATTTTGAGTTGTGTTAAATTTTGTTTGTTAGTCGGTATAATGATTGTAGTATTTTTTGTTCTTTGTTTTCTTGAAACTGTCTATTTGTATAAAAAGAAAATGTTTAGACCATGAGAAAAATCACCTATAGCTTTTCATGCATGGAAGCAAGAGAACCCAAGTAGTAGAGAAAATGTAGTAGTCAACAATGTTTTAAGTGTAAGTGATACAAAAAACAATGACACTGAGACTGTAAAAAAGTGTTCCAAAGAAATGAAAGTTCACAAAGTCTTAAAATACTGCCCTTGTAAAGGCAGTATTATAAGAAAAGCGGCCTTTTTAACAATCGTGATCTACGTAATAATATACTTTATGGTCCACACAGGCATAAAGACAAAAAAAATTGATATCTTCTTAATAACATTTAAGTAAAAATTGAAGTTAAAAATATGGAATGATTTAGTAGAATTCACATAAAAATGGTAATTTTGGGAAGATGCAATAATAGGAAGATCCGATATTTTCACTTTTTAGGTTTGACAGCCGCAGATGTCCATTTATTATATGTTTCACCCTAACGACGGTACTGCTCATACGACTATAATTCAATTTCTGAATTTTTAAATATATTTAGATTAGGAATACGATAGCAAACTAGTATGACATAAAAGTTTGTATGCACCTTGGGCATTAATATATGTGTATACCCTCGGGCAATTTACAAACACTCGGGCGAGAGGCCCTCGTGTTTGTAAGACAGTCGCCCTCGGACATAAACATCTACATAACGCCCTTGGTACATAAATAACTAGTATAAGGCTACGGAATGTATCCCTTCTTATTCAAGGCAAGTAATGTCTTTTTTATGCGATTTTTTTATATGCTCTTTTCTGTGGAACATATCCACCGCATTAAACGAGACCTTACTGTATACTACGTGCAAAATGTATATCTACTCAAAACTAGATAAAAATGTTAATCCCCAAGGAAAATGAATTCCTGTAGTTGTTTGTATACCATGTATCACAAAATTTTATATTTAAAAAACTCCTTTATAAAAGGTATATTATTAAAAAAAAACCTAACGGGTTACATTACAGAACGTATTCGGAATAACTATTCCATCATCAGTGCTATCTGGATTGACACGTTTAAAGCCACTACTTACATGAAAAAATATGAAAAATCTAGATTTTGGTCACTAAGAAAGTCCTTAGACGAAGTATCTTTGAGGATTTGTTGATAGCAACTGTACTGTATTGATAAATATATATTTGTTTTTAAATATACCACCAATGTTCCATAAACACATGTTTTCTAGAAAAATAGTATTGAAAAAAAACTATTTTTGGTATATTTTGTCTAATTTATGTTAAAAAGGAATATCACCATTCCAATCTTTTGATTTTTTTTTATTTAAATCCTTGGCTGTTAATGGGTTGCTATATAAACCACTAAATCCATCACAGTGTAAACAGAAAAAACTCTAAAAGATAATAGACTTGGAAAATTCAAATCCCGTCGTTACCGATCTATTTACTCACCTAAAACCCCGTTGTAAAAAGGTCTTTGCGTGTGTTTTTCCTCAAACTTGTCTTCATCATGATTTAATTAATACGAAATCATATAACGAGATTGTTGTGGAAGTTTCGCAATAAGCCCGTTGAAGTTTTCCATTTACTAATGAACTCCCGACAAGGAAGTTTTAAATTCGGTTTTTAAAAATAAATTTTCCCCAACTTTTCCGAACTTCATTAGGTAGTCATTAATATCCTTCGAAAATGTGTACAATATTTTTTCGAGGGTAGTATAAAACGAGGAGGAACTGAAATGGATTTTTAAATAATAACATGCAATACAGGGTATTTTTTTATTTAGATACATAATTGCTTATTTTATTATGTACAACTGTTTTGGTTTGGACTGCTCCTAGAAACTTCAACACTGCCAATGTTCCACTATGCAACATAAAAAGTAAAAAAAATAGTTTAATAAAAAAATATAAAACATAAATATTTATTAAAATAGTATAAACAAAATTATCCTATCTTCGACTCTAAAACTTAATTTTTTTCCATTGCTTAGTCAGACTTCGATCGAAACGGTCGTATGCTGCCACACTCCGGTAAATTTAAATTTAATTAAATTTAAATGTGTTGTTAAATAAATTACTAAGGGCCGGTTGTTCGAACGCTAATCAAAACTTAATTGTAATCAAATATCTAATTACAAGTAAACACGTCACAGCAGCTGTCAAAATTGCTTATTATTATTATTGATTTGTAAATAAAAACATGAAATTAATATCAGAAAGATTTTAATTATAGTTTATTTTAAATTAAAACGCAAAATAATAAAATTGAATAAAATAAATCAGTCAACATAACCTCAAAATATAACGTATATGATTTTAATTAAATATTTGATTACAATCAAGCTTTGATTAGCGTTCGAACAACCGGCCATCAGTTTCTTTTTTTAAACATTTAAGTAAGTAATAACGATGGATTTGCTTTTATTAATAATTAAATTTCATATGTAAAACTAGCACAATATTAATAATTATACCTAACGCATCTTTCACACAATACGACTTGGGTCGTTACGGCAAGAGGTCGTACGACCGTTTGTCCCGGTATTCATCTTAATTGTCGCAGAGAGCACAGAGCGTAGAATGAATCAGGCAAACATTTTGGCCTCATGGTTAATTTACCGCCTTAAAAAAGGACAGGACGTAATCGACTTTATTGAGTGTATCCTTTTGGGGGACACATTTAAGTATTACAAAAGATATATTTAACTATCGCTTGTGTCGAGCTCGACGGAAGGTAAGTTGTAACGAAAAGCTTTGTCTACCACATAGGGTATTACTATGAGGGTTGAAATCTTGCGACAGAAACTATTGGGGGTGGAGATAGGGCAAGTAAAATAAATCGAAACTTATGCGAACGGCACTCAGGGTTTATTTGGAGAGTCGTGGATAAATTGAATAGCAAGGGGTCGGATTGGGGCAACTACAAAATTGAAACAAAAAGAGGGTACTTACATACATCTCCTGGATAAATGAGCAAACAAAAACAACAAGAAAGGCTATTTAAAATAAGGATGCCACTTCGAAGGACCCTAGTCTTGCTTGATAAATAAAAAAAGCTCTTCCTTCCTAAAAAAAAGAAACACAAAAGGGGTTAGGTGATTTTTTAAAATAGGTAAAGAAAAATGATTTAGGGAAATAAATTAAACATTTATTGTTGTCTCAACTCAAACAGTTACAAAATCAGAAAATACATGAACACTTACGATATTAATAGTTACAAAGATTTATATCAAAGTATTAAAGAAAAAAACTTACTTGTCCTATTTGTTTTACAAACTCTCTTTACAAGTGGGAGATGCTACAAAACTTTTAAAAATGGTTACTGGGCTATAAACATGTGGCAGAAATGAATTATTATAATTAAGGAATTATCTTTTTAAACAAAACTAGTCATAAAGGTTAACCTTTTTCTAAAAACAAAAACAAACTTATGTCAAAAATAATAAAGCTAGCTGTCATATGTCAACATAAGATTTTAAAACATAAAAAATTAAAATGACCGCTAACCACGCCCTAAGACATATATTTTTAATTATTACAAATTTTTTACAAATCCTTTGAAAGCAATTATTATTTTAAACTGTCTATTTATACTTTAAAATTTGAACACAAAAGAAAGTTATTTAAGTTTTACAAAGAAATGCACTAAAACTCCTGTGGTTAGAACCTTAATTACTAAAATTTCCTCCACTGGAACAAAAACACTGCATCTCACATTGCGATAGGAGTGATAGGACTGACAATTTTAAGTTGAAGCTAGCACCGAACACAAAACTTGGAACTCAGCCTCTAAAAAGGACTGGAACAATGTGGACAAATTTCAAATTTGTTGTAAACGACACAAATCTCTTAGGTACTTAAATTACTCTTTTCTAAACTGACATATTAACAAAGAGTAAAATTCCACTCTTTTCAATAAATTATGCCGGCTTCTAGTCACTCATAACGACGACCAAATCTTCCAACCTAAACTTGAATTCAATCGACCCTCTACACCGGCTTACCAATTTTGCGTCTTTCCTCTCCACCGCTCTCGTTAGCAAAAAACCCAAAATTTTGTTTTAAACATATCGCAGAACGACCTTGAATCAAACTACTTTTAAATTTGCAGAAATAACACGTACAAATCAATAAAACCATATTTAAAGTCGAAGTTACAAACTAGATTTTGGAAATCTTTTCTTTTACCTCACAATGTAAACATAGAATTGGGGGATATTCATACTTGGGCCAGGGACGTCTTAGAAAGTTTTAAATTAAGAAATGTATTATGCGGTGTTCGCATCCTCAGCAACAAATAACGCATATTTAAAGTTTTCGACGTATTACATAATTTTGTACGTGACAGGGATGGTTTTGTGGTAGAGGATACTTTGACAGTAACAGGTCTGAATTATTTAGCGCAAGAAATGTAATACGAGAGGGTCTATCTGCAAATAATATTAGGAAGATGTTTTGTACATATTTTGTATCTGATGTTGAAAGCTTGCCATGGCAATTTCAAAAATGTGAGTAATTACAATTTGTTATTGGATATAATGTACCTATAATATAGAAAGTGTAATAATGGCCAAAGAAACACCGAAAAGTCCCTACTAATCTACGTCTATACTTTAACTGCAAAATAAAGTAAGTACAACTTAGCAAACTTATTTATCTCCTGAGTGTCTAGCTTTTTAAAGTCAGAGTTAACCTCCACTAAAATTTCATGCCATGCATTTCTTGTCGAATTTCTGTCTTTATAATATGCATACAGAGTTTTACCCACAATATCGGTCTACTTTGTACCAGTGCAATTAAAATTTACCATCTATATTTTCTGTCATTATGTATGTGCCCCTGGACACTGCTACTGCAAGATCAACTGTTCTTGTTGTGTCGTTACGTGGGCAAGCATCGATTACATTGCGTGGTTCACTGATAATACGCTACAACACTACCGTTGTCCATTGTAGTGGCATTGGACGGCAGCCGAATGTGAATGTCGCCGTATATTGTTTTATTGGGCAATGGAATGTACGGCAAACTGTCGTAACGACGACTTTATGTCGTAACCACTTAAGTCGTATTGTGTAAAAGAAGAGTATTTTGTGCTAATTGTTCAAAGCTAAACAGTGTGTTAGAGAGTTACTAGGCAAAAAGTACGTAGGTTATGTATACTTTACGATTACTTATGATTACTTTATGATTACTTATACAGTGCATGTAGTTTAAATATTGGGAATATTACTGATATCAATAGTGGAGTCTAAAGCGGACATTAAGAAGAAAATTGAAGATTTTGATAATAAACTAGCTGAATTCAGCAATAAATTAAATCAGCTTGATTCTATTACCAGAGAATTTACCGACAGCATTGTCAATGAAATTCTGGAAACACATGCACAATATTTCGGAGGTAGTAATGCCATTATATTTCATCACACCAGGAATTCTTGAACTATTATTTTTAGAATTTACGTACGACCAATTTGAAATTAAAATGTGAAATTTCAATTACTTAAACAGGATGAAGTGCTATTTAGGATCCAGTAGTATCAATATTTTTAAAGCAGAGAAAGACCTTTTAGTTACTTTCTAGATATTTTATACATTTAATTTTTACTAATAATTTAGTACGGAATCGTATTTAATTTTCTAAAGTGATGCTCTCCGCAAGAGACCTCAATTTTTTTCACTAAATCCCAGCAATGCCATTACTGATGCGTCCAGGGTATATTTTGGACGTCAGCAACGCTTTGCATTTCAATAAAGCCCTACTTATGCAGCATTGTAGCAGTAAAAACGTGCCGGACATTTTGAGATAGATTTCATGAAGAATTTCTAACCCCGAGCTCGTTAAGAGCGTCCAAACTGAAATAATTTCACCTCGGAATATAGTTATGGCGTTTAGGTATTCAGTCGAGAAAAGTTGAGAGTTGTTATATTGTTAGACGTGAATTCCAGTCTTCGGAATAGTTTTTTATCGAATTAGTTTCATATTGTACAAAAATAGAATTATAGTAAATATTATTCATTCTCATTTAAAAAAATAAAAACGAATATTATCTATTCGATATTATCGTGCGTTCCTTTTATCGGGAAAAGGGAGTTTTTGAACAAGTCTTTTGTGATCAAAATACTTGTTAGTTTTAGTTTTTTACACACACTCGACTAAAGGTAATGTCACCATTTGGCAATACTCCATTCTATTGCTAACAATTTCTACTCTATCGTAGGATGATTGATTTCTGCTTTTTTTTTGAGCGTTATAGTGATATATGCTAAAAATTCGTCACTATCGTTTAATAAAGTTTCTCCTAAAGCAATGCCTGACGCGTTAGTTCTTAAAATAAAGTTGTTTTTATGCGATAAATCTGATAATTCCACTGAGGGTTTATTAGTGATGCCTTGAGTTTATCAAAAACTTTTTGGCATTCTGCTGTCCACTCGAATTTTCCATCCTTTGTTGATGTCGTCGCAGCAAGAGTTTAGCTATGATATTATCCACTCTGCTGTACGCTGTCTAGGGGCTTCATGTATAATTTACGAAGAACCCCTAAGCATTTATCCATTTTAATTTCTGGATGTGGATTCTTTTTCCAAGTCTTGATAAAGACTGGGTGTGTAGTGTATGATATCGTAGATCATTGTTGAAATAAAACAACGTTTGAAGCAAAGACTAACTACAGAGTCTAACATTTGCGGTAGCACGGAGCAGAGAGCAGAGCCCCGGCCGGCGACCTCCTTTATCGTACGTGCTTTAGGTAAGGCCGTGGTCTATCGACTGATCCGAGAGCTGAAAAATGTCGCATATTTATAAGCATATTAGTATTTATATGGCATTTTCAGATCTCTCGGCCAACAGAAAAATAAAGCATGTTT